AGGACGTGTCCTCTGATATGCAAATTGGATTTTGTATTAGACCTTGTTGGTGCCTGCCCTACAGCAGGGATCAGCAAACTACAGCCCAAGGACCTGATCCAGCCCACTGCCTGTTTTGTAAATACAGTTTTATTGGAAGCAATCATGCCTATTTCCTTTAGTATTGTCTGTGGCTGTTTTCATGCTAATATGACGGAGCTGTGTAGTTATAACAGAGGCTGTACAACCTATAATCCTTTATAGAAAACGTTTGCCAACCTCTGTCCTGTATCTATCTCCTTGGGTGGCCCCAGAGGTCACCTGTAGACAGTTGCTATACATGCCAAGGATGCTCTCTCTGCCAGGGATGTTCTCAGGCTGCACACAAGACCTCGTGTACCACAAGCAGAAGGGCCAGGGAATCAGCCACCCATGGCCGCCCTCACCTGAGGAAGGGTGGGAGCTGGTCCACAGATACCCCAGCTCTTCACCTCCTGTCAGGACAATTTGAAGATGTTCCACGTGGTCTCTTCCCGTGGGTGCCTGTGCAGGCACCTCTCTTCCCAGTCTCACTCCCTCTCCTTCACCAGTCAGGGGACAGAAACGCCACTGGTGACGTTAACAGAGAGAACTGAATATAAAGCACTAAAACTGAGTATAAAGACGTAATGCCTTCTTAATTAGAAAAGCAAAAGAGAACATTAAAGCACCACATGGACCAAGGAATCTAACACCTGTGTGAATGTGAAGGTGGCTTGTCGAATGGTCGTGGGGTCCCGGGGAGGGGGCACCACCCACCCAACTCTCCCGCCTGCCCAGAGGTGGAGCGAGAGTGTCCCTGGTAGACAGGCCCGCCCTGGAAGACCCAGACCCCTGAGGAGACTGTAGGGGGGCTGCTTCTGTAAATGTTGGGAAAACTGAGAACTGGCTTCAGCTGCTCTGGGCAGGAGCTGCCGCTGCCAGGGTGAGATAGCACTGCCAGGAGATGAGAACAAACAAGGAGCAGGGCCCTCCTCCCTCCTCCAGCCTTTCTCTCTTCTCCTATCAGGGAGATGCTGGCAGAGTAAGAACGAGGTCGCAGCTTCCAGCCCCAGCACTGGAGTGTAGAAAGGCCGGCTTAGAGCTGAGACTGGTGCTTACCAATGGCACGCTGAGCTCCTGTGATCACCGCTCTGATAAACCACCTACACCTGAGACCTTGTTTAGGGTCTGCTTTGCGGGCAACCCAACCTAATCCAAACTTCCACAAGCTCCCCCTTGATACCAAACCTCCTTCACTAGCAGTTATCTTTGGGATCTCTGGGGTTGCAAGCAACAGAAACCAATTCTGACTAGTGAAAACACACAAGCAGCATGTGCTAAGCATGCAGCGTAGCTCTCTGAACTGAAGGGAAGCCTGAAGAGCCAGCACGAACCAGCCTGGAAAAGGGACAGGGGTTGCAGCAAGACTGGGGACAGAGATGCACAGCGGGAAGCAGGGGGACCACGTCAGCACTCCTCCATCACCGGGCAGCTCCAGCGCGTTCAGTCTTGGCTTCGCTAGACTCAGATCTCCTATTCCAACAATGGGTCTGGTTTGGACACTTGCCCACCCACAGGCAGAGGAAGGCAGGATGTCTTGATGGTCCCATCAGGGCTGTAACCTGTGTGAGAGAAGCAGCTCCTCAAGACACAATCAGGGCTGAGGGCCTCCCGAGCAGTGGGAGAGGTGGCTGGGAAGATGCCCATCAGCCGTCTTAGGTTGGTTCCTCCCAGAAGCTGACTCTGACACCAGGAGTCGAGGTCAAGTCATTTACTTGAAAGGAAGCATCTTTTTGTAGGGAAGCAGGACAGTGGGACACGGAAGGGAGGAGTCCCACTCAGGGCACATAGATGAGTGGGTTTCTCCATGGGCATCTGGGGCTGACACCCACCGGGGACTTTGTACAACATGTCTGGGAGTTATCCCAACAGAGAAGCGCGAGGGCTGGGGTGTTTACGCACCTGGGCCCCCCGGTCTTGGATGACTGCTGCTCCCGGGAGGCCCTGCACTGCCCACCTGCCCAGTGTGTGGACCGAGCTCACTCCTGGGGCCACAGGAGCCCCTGAGGCAGAGTCACACTTGCCTGCCGTGCTTGCCTGGGGTGTGGGCCTGAACCAGAGCAGCAAGGGTTGTAGGGTCTGGGGGGGTCAGCACCAGGGTGGCTGATACGACAGCACTTACTGGTCACCGACTCAGACGCTTGGAGAATGGAGGGCTGGGGGGCTGGGTCACAGCTTCTTTATGGGGAAGGTGGCTTGGGAGAGTCTCGGTCCTGGGCTTGAGGCTGAGTCGGGGAAGAGGCCAGGACCCCTGATATAGCAGTGGCAAAGCTCTGGCATTCTCTTGTCTTTGATGCTACTGGGAGGCCTGCTCTGAGTCCCCGGGTTTACTTTTTATAAAAACTTGCTTATTTTCAGAGACCTCAGGGAGAGGAAAAGCCAGGAAATGAACCCATTCTGCAGCTCTCCTGGGAAAAACAGAACCAAGAAGGAAAAGTGGAGAGGAGTGCCAAGAAAATGAGCAAAGTGGGGCTCTGGGGTGGGGGGAGCGGGGGGCAGACAAAGAGCCTGACTCGACGCCAAGGTGTCCACTGCAGGCAGCCCTGCATTTCACACTGCAAGCCCGGCTTTCATGTGAACCTCCCAGAAATGCTGCTCACCTGGCCCCTGCCTCCCGTCTCAACCTCCCCTCCTTGCATCGTCCCCACCTCTTTCCATCGTCCCCCCCCCCAGTCCCCTTTATTTCCCCTGCTTGAACAGGTCAGTCCATTCCTGCCCCAGGACCTTTGCACTGGCAGTTCCCGCTGCCAGTAATGCTCTTCTCTCCGATATGCATGTGATGGGCCCATCTTGTCATCAGATCACACGTCACCTCGTCCATGGGGTCTTCGCTTGACCATCCAACTCAAAGGAGACCCCTGGCACTCTAGCACATCTCCCTGTAGTATTGTCTCTAGGTGGTTTTCTCCTATTTAGTTATCTGCCTACTTGTGCAATTCCTTCCTCTCCCGCCAGAAAGTCGTGACTTTGAGAGCAGAAGCACGTCCAGTGCTCCCTGCTGTCTCCCCAGAGCCATGCGTGGCACAGAACAGGCCCCCAATCCATTCTTTTTTTTTTTTTTTTCCTTGCGTTATGCGGGCCTCTCACTGTTGTGGCCTCTCACATTTGTGGAGCACAGGCTCCGGACGCGCAGGCCCAGCGGCCATGGCTCACGGGCCCAGCCGCTCCGCGGCACGTGGGATCCTCCCGAAACGGGGCACGAACCCGCGCCTCCCGCATCGGCAGGCGGACTCCCAAGCACTGCGCCACCAGGGAAGCCCCCCCAATCCATTCTTGATCATTGATTGAATGAAATATAAAAATGACCTTTCTTTCCAAAAAGATAACTCCCGCCTTTTTAAATAGGAATATTAACAGAACACATGGTCCAAAGAAGTAAAAAGACTTAATGGGGAAAAGAAAAGGTTTGAAGTGGCTGTTATCGAATATAATATACACACTGGTCCAAATTCCTAGCACATTCTGTGCTCCACTAATGGTTTTCATTATTCTCTCTTAAGCTTTTAAATGATATGTACCTCAAAACTGTGCCATGGAGCTGGTTCTCCACTCATCTTTTGGAAACGACAACAAAGGCATGTTTCTTTCTTGAAATTGAAACCTCAAATGAATTCCGAGAAAGATTTTTTTAAAGCTCTAAACAGAAAGGAAAGGAGACTCCATTTAGTATTCTTTCTATTCTTTCTAACAAAGAAATAATAGGATGTAATTTATGACACCATCAATTTTCTCTAATAATGTGTAGTTGTCTTGCCAGGTACTTTTGTTTAGGCAAATGCAATAATCCGTTTCAGCACATTTATTCACTGTGCTTAATGTATTTTGGAGCATCTACACGGGGAAGGAGTACTTTCTTAATTGGATAAGTAAAAAAATTATTTTTGGACTGTTAGTAGAAAAAAAGAGATATCTACAGGCAACATAAAAATTTTTGTAAAGATTCCGGCTTCAAGTAATTCCTATTTCCTAGGATGTGACACTGTAAGTACCTGAGTGCATGTGTGTGCACAGGAGAACATGCATAAATGTGTAGTATGGTATATTACGGTAATTGAGATCATTAATAAACTTGAAAACTCTCCCCTTACCAGCATGCCACACTGTCTGGCACACAGAATATGTTTAATAAATGTTGGACTAGTTAATTAACCGCTAAACGAGGAACTACGTGATGACATTTGATTTTGCTTTCTGAAACCTGACCCAGGATTGCAATCTCTAAGTGACAAATTCTAAGTGACTCAGACAAAAGGACATTCAGCACATACTCTGTGGCAGGTGGCAACGGTGCCCCACTTACATCCCGTTACCCTTACCATTTCCATGTATTTCCACGCCTGACGTCCAAATGCCTGCACCTGTACTCCTCGGCCGAGGGCTTTCCTGGTCCCCAAAGCCAACAGCAGCGCTCCCTTCTGACTGGCCAGCGTTGGTGGCTCAATACACCAGCTCCCTCACCCTTGGGCAGGGTCTACCCCATCTCCCAGAGCCCCGGGGGTGGGGGCCAAGCGCCAGCCGCCCACAGGACTGACCCATCTGGTAGCCCATCTCCTTGCCGTCCCTGCCGCCGTCTCCCTGCCCTCCTGGCACTTCCTGAGACCACCCCACCCCCAGAAACTACATCAAATCCTTGCTGCGAGATCAGCTTCTGGGGGAACCCAAACCAAAACAGACACCTTTAATTGTGTTACTTCTAACAAAACACTCCTCATGTGATCAAATATTTGTGCTTGAAATGCAGAGAAAACCAGCCAATCCATCATCTAACACGTTTCTGTGTGAAATCCAGAGTCTGAGCCTCTGACGAGTCTCTCAATGACCCATATGAAGGGCTTGTCTCTTTCCTAAACGAGCATGGCTTGGTGGCTGTTAACAGAGCACCCCTGAGCGAGGCTAACCCACCTAAAAGCCCAAAGCCCCTGTTAATTAGACAAAGGATGTGCAAGCAAAGAAAACACTTTAATTAAGGCTTCACTGGCAAGCCAGACAGGCCAACTATGGTCTAATCCAAACAAGAACCCTCAGTCTTGTATGGTTTGTCCTAAAATATCCAAGCACTTCCCAACAGTGGCCCAAAGGCACTTTTGCCCCTCGAGCCTAGGCATTGGAAGAGCACTTCTCCAGCTTTTTCTCGTTTGCCTTTGTCTTTTCGATCATGGTCTCCACAATTACAGCAGTCTCTTCATATGTCTGGATGCTGTCGGTGGAAAACTTCTCAATAGATTCCATCACCTCCACCTTCTCATAGGCCAGCGTCCTGGGAGGGCTTCTCGCCGGCAGGCTGCTGCTCCAAGCTCCAGGCCCGTAGGACCCACCCTGAGTGACCTGAGGCCCTTGAGACTGGGGTGTAGATGGCCCCTCTGGACCAGGAGAGACTGTGACACAGGGCTCCCTGGCCCCCTCCTCCTCCTTCTGGCCATCCTGTTTCCCCCGGGGGCCCTTCAGTTCTTCAGCATTCATCTCATCCCCCTTGTCTACAGTGTGCGGGGTGGGGAGCTGTCCATCTTCTTTCCCCTGGGGAGGCCCCTGTCCATCCTCCAGACCATCTTTCCCCTGGGGAGGCCCCTGTCCATCCTCCAGACCATCTTTCCCCTGGGGAGGCCCCTGTCCATCCTCCAGACCATCTTCTTTCCCCTGGGGAGGCCCCTGTCCATCCTCCAGACCATCTTTCCCCTGGGGAGGCCCCTGTCCATCCTCCAGACCATCTTTCCCCTGGGGAGGCCCCTGTCCATCCTCCAGACCATCTTCTTTCCCCTGGGGAGGCCCCTGTCCATCCTCCAGACCATCTTTCCCCTGGGGAAGCCCCTCTCCGTCCTCCAGAGGGGGCTCCGGCTGCTGGGGAGAGGGCTCCACGTGGCTGTCAGGATGCACAGAGTTGTCCCCCTTAGAAACCACCACGCCCCCTTTGGCCGGGACTGAGAAGGAACAGAAGCCTGGGTCCACGAAACTGGCATCTCCGGAGACCAGCACATACCGCCCCTTGGTGTACAGGTCAGCGGGGGGCTCGGGTTCTTTGGGGCCTTTCACCCTCTCCTTGACCATCTTGCCTAGTTTTTCAAAGGCTTTGCTTATCTTCCCTCCGTCTGGGACATCCTTCGGAGCCCCGTCCATGGTCGGGGGACTTGCTTCTCCATCCCCTGATTCAAGCTTAGATTCACCCTTTTCTTTAAGTACCACCTGCCCTGGCTTCAGGTCTTCAGGACCTCTCAGTGGTGCCTCTTCCAGACTTTCATCTGCTTTGTCTTTCGCTATAATCTCCTTTTTCCTTGGAACGTTCTTGGGGAGGCCTTTTTGTCTTGGTTTTGCTATTGTTATATCCTGCACAGCCCTGGCGAGATCTTTAAAAAAAAAAAAAGGACAATGAGGCAAGTATCATCACCAATGAAAGAGGAAGAAAATGTATTTGTTGAAAAATACACTAATTATCTTGGAGCCCCCTGTCTAGCGCTGGGGTGGGGTTTACTACGTATGATCAAAAACAACAGGGAGGGCTTCCCTGGTGGCGCAGTGGTTGGGAGTCCGCCTGCCGATGCAGGGGACGCGGGGTCGTGCCCCGGTCCGGGAGGGACCTTCTCCTGGCTCAATAAAGTGGACTCAACACACCCTATTCACCACAGAAGAATATATCTGACTAGAAAGAATCTTAAAAACTATTTATTGATATCTCTTGGTAAGTAAATCAAGTGGGTGTAAAGCAGCATAAACAGCAGTGAAAATCAGCTAAACCCCATTATAAAGGTAAATTACAAAAAAAAAAAAAAAAAAAACAGGGAAAGATCCCCGGGTCTGAAGCGTCCACAGCCCACATTGAGGACCCAGCTCTGCTGGCCACTGTGTGACTTTGGACAAGTCACTCGGCCCCTCTGGGCTTGCAGAGTGGAGGGAGGCGCCCACAGTTCCCATCACACTGGGTACAACCGACTGAGATCCGTGATCCTCCTGCAGTAACACTCTGTGGGAGCAGGGCTCCAGTGCCCACCAAGCCCCCTGTCCCCCAAGTTCACAGGGGACACTGGGATCCACAGAGCAGACGGTGGAAACCCAGTCCACAGTGCACTCTCGCCTCAGGCTTCCCCAAAGGAGCAACGCAGAGCTGCCTAGGCCTCTGACGGGCTCGGAATGGCCTCGGCCATGGGGAGTAGCTCCCTTGTCCCGCTCGCAACCCAGGCCAGATGAACAGACACCCCTTACTCAGCGTCCCCTTCCTCCTGGGCAACAAGAGGAAGTGATGCTCTCAAACTCAGAACAGGAATCGCCTGTGCCCGAGGCCATATTCATTTCCTCAGATCAGCTAAGAGGAAAAACTGAAAGTTTAACACAAATCTCACCCTGCCTCACCCAGGAGGCTTTCCAGCTTTGCTCACAGTGCTTTTTAAACTTTTTCATCCCGAAGTCTTCTCCAGCCCCTCCCTCCCTTCGCTAACCAGAGGACTCAGTTGCACAGAGCAAGGGCCTCCCGTGGGGCTGACCCTCAGTGACAGGGCAGAGTGAGCAGGCCGTGAAGCCATGATCGGGAGGACGCAGTGGTGACACAACAAAGCAGGTGTGGAGAAGGGCTTACTTGCAGGACCAGCTGCCGAATTTCAGGGCCCGCTAATCAAAACTGAAGAATGTCCAGACAGCGACCGCACAGCATCAAGCCCAGCACCCTGCACACAGCCACCCGTCCCTGGAGCTGGCCCTGGGTGTCTGGGGACCCCTAACCCTGGCAGCAACGTTCTGACTCTTGCACCCCATCTCTGCAAAGCCCTCTGAGCTTTCTGAGACCCCTGGATTTGAAGGCACTATAAGCACAGGCTTCTCTTCTCCCAGGCACTGTTCTGTTCCTTCAGGACTGGGGAGACTGAGCTGTGAGCTGACATCTCACAGGCGCATGAAACCATCCTCAAAGGACCAAATGTTGAAGAGGCAGAAGCTGCGCTTGCCCACCAGGCTACGTCTGCTCAGTTTTGAACGGGAGAGAGAATGAACAGAAATTGAGCATCTGCTCTGCTCCTGACACTAGGTCAAGCACCTCTGCATAAAAGAGTTCATTTCACTGGGGGGGGGGGGGGGG